CCAGGCACTGATCCAGACACAGAATTACTGCAATGACCAGGACAGATAAGGCCTTTCTTTGGTGTCAGGAAGCCTCCTTTGTAATATGGGAAGACAGATAATAAATGAACCTGGCGATAAGGAAAATAAAGTGGGGGGATCTAACAGAGAATAATGGAGGGGCTATTGTACAGGGTGGCCAGGCCCCCCTGAGGAGATGACATTTAAGCTGTGTCCTCACTGACAGGAAGAAGCCAGCAAGACAAGGATACAGAAAAGAGATTCCAGAGAAGAGCAAGGGCAAGGCCCGGGCCAAGGGTGAGCTTGGCTTGTTCGGCAAACAGGAAGGCGGTGGGCAGGGTAGAGTGGGTGAGGGGGTGGTGGAAGTCAGTCGCAGATGCAGCCCAGGGCTGAAGGTGCAGGTGCTTGTAGGCAGCAGAGAGGAGTTCAAACTATGTTCTAGGTAAAGTATGAGCCACTGGCAGGTTTGAAACTGAGCAGGGACACAACCGGATTCATGTTTTTAATAGAACACTTGTGGAGAATGCACTGTGTGTGAGTTGAACGAGACCCAGAGCTGCCCTCCTTAGCTTAGCGTCTGCAAGGTGCTCTGCCATGCCGTTGGGGGCAGGAAGGTGGCCTGGCTGACCTCCCACTCTTCCTTCTCCAGCAACCACTGGGCAGAATAACCCTCTGTGTCCCTGCTGCTGGCCTCTGTCGGCTGACAGGCCCCATCTGGGCTGACGGAGCCTCTGAGGAATCCCAGAAGCGTGGTCAGGGGCCTACTTAGGTGACCAACTGGATTTGGGAGGAAACGCCCACGGTGCTGCCCTTGGCCTGGCACCAAGGGCATCTTCCTAGCCAGTTCTGGTAAGGTTGGCCAACTGAGCAAACCAAGACCAATGAGTCAAATGAGCTTCTTGCTGTATAGTCACTGGGCAGGGGCAGTGAGCACTTTCAGAACAGGGCAGAAACCCTCTGACCCCAGCTCCACTTTGCCCTCTGTCCAGCTGGTGGCCTGTGGGAAGAACAGCCAGATGGTCACCCGGAGCCTATGCTCTAGTCCAGAAGCTCAAGGCCTTCTGATCGCAGGATCCCTTCTTAGAGTTAGTTGTGGGGCTGGCTGGTGCTTCCTCAGCTTTTAGCTGTGGCTTTTAGGCACAGAATCTCTTGTTCCCTGAGACGGTATAAAGAGCCTCAGGTATATAAAACGGATCAAAGCTTCACCTCGCTAGTGGAGCCAAGAGGCACTTCCCAAGCCCAAGTCCATGCTTCTTTGCACTCATTCACCGATAACTTTGGGCAGCACTTGTGCTCTCTGACCTCAGTTTCCTCCTCTGTCATCGCGGAACTCAGCCGTGTCTCCTTGCAACAACTTGCCACACAAGCCCTCTTGCCCTTTGCAGCAGAGCTCCGAGAAAAGTCCTCAAGGGCCCCCTCCGCGCAGCGAGAGACGCGGGTGCCCCATGTTGCCCACCCACATGTGTGGCACAGTTTGCAGGGCAGAGCAAGAGGGGAGACCACCCCCCCCCCCCCAAGCCGCCTGCCCCAACCCTGGACTCTAGGAGAGCAAAGTGCGTGGGCCAAGCAGCCCTACAGTGGTAAGGCTGGAATTGGCATGATCCGTTCCTTCCACAAGCAGCGCCCAGGAGCCAGCCCTTGAGGCAGGGTTGTGCCCCTCCTCGGGCCAACATCCAGCTCTGGAGACCGGCTCTGCTTGGGGTGCACTCGGGCCTTCCTCGGGCCTCAGTCACCCAACAGTTAACGCGTTTCTTCTTGACTGACAACCAGCATAACACCAAAACAGTCAACTATTTTTATCTCCGGATTAATCACAAAAGGCTAACGCTTCCACCTTCCCTGTGATTAAAAATTAGGAGACCAAACTCTATAGTGGTTCAGGATAATAACCAATCCTGTGAGGGCGAGGTATGAATAATGCATCTCCAGGCTTGGGCGGCTGGCGCCTTCCCCCCCCACCCACCCCTCCGCCTGGGCCCCAGTCCCAGCTCCAGGACCCAGGCCTGAATGGAGACGTAATGAGTCGCCCCCTTCCATCGAAGCAACAGCTGCCAAGAACGACTGTTGATTTCTATTCAGCCTCGTGGCCCCCAAACATCCTCCCTCCTCACCCACTCCCACCCCCACACCCCAGCCCCATCCGCACCCCCTCCTACCCCATCTGGTGTGCAGCGAGGCGAAGGCCAATCAATAATGCATAGCTACATGAATAACCGCATGATAACCACTTATTTGGGAAGATATAATCAGGACCCATTCTGCGGCTGGGGGTGTGTGTGTGTGCGTGTGTGTGAGTGTGCGTGTGTGTGCGCGCGCCTGGGTACTCACAAAACAGGGTCCTCCTCCCCCCTCCCCTCCTCTGCACGCCCTCTAATCCAATATTCCAGAACACAGCAGTAGGCAGCAAGAAGGAAGCCTGGCCCCTCACTGCATTGGGTTTCGAGAAAGCCCTCCTCAGGCTCCATGCTGTGATCACAGTGTGCTGTGCACCTGAGCAAAGGCCCAGAGACCGTGGGTTCTCAAACTTGGTCACGCACCAGAATCATCCGGGGAGTTGTAAAACCTCCTGGTGCTTAGGGTCCACCTCCAGAGATTGGGACTGCCAACAGGACTTTTTAAAACCGCCCCCGGAAGATTATGATATGCAACCAAGGTTGAGAACCACTGCCTCAGACCCAAGAAATGTCAGCGCCACAGAGAACTTTCCAGATCTCCTGTTGTCCTTTCATATGTTGTATCTGGTGAAATAAAGCCACCAGGAGGGACAAGCTTCCCCAATTTACCCTCTGATTTAGGGCACTCGCCACAAGACCACACCAGTTGGCTCTTCACTGGGGAACCCACGGAGACAAGGATGGCCAGGTGTTTCTTCTATTCCCAGAGCTGCCAATGGTTCTTTCCATCTCCCCTGGCTCTCCCCAAGCTCAGCCAGAGCACTCCATCCTGGGCACCTAATGGAGAGAAAGCTTCCACCACAGAAGAAAGCCCCAGCCCAGCCCTCCCGCCCAGCCTGTTGCATAGAGACAAAATTCCCCTCATCGGCAACTGTCACACCCACCCCCCATTTGTGGAAAGCCCACATCAGCCTCCCTTTTGCTCTCTGGCCACACCAGCACCAAGGAGGCCTCTGGCACTGATGAGGGAGTTTGGGGTGGGCAGGGGGTGGGGGGTTGTCCTTATCATCCAGCCCACAGCCAACATCTGCCTAAGCCCCGAGCCCCCTGGGGAGGCCAGGCCGGGTTGGATGAGGCCAACTTCCTCCCTGGGCCAGGATCTCGGGTGGAGTTCTGGGGCTGATGATAGCGTCTTGTAAGCCCTGATGGTTTGTTTTTCCTCAGAAAATGGAAACTTGGGGGTTGGCACACACTGCGCTATAGTAATGAACCGCGCCTCCTCCGAGGCCAGGAAGGAACAGGGCAGGGCCACTAGTGGAAGGTGTGCAGCTTTGGGTGTTTACCTGGAGTTTTCCTGAGGAGACTGGATGCACCAGGAGAGTGGCAGATGGGGGGAGGCCCCGGGCAGGGGAGGGAAGCCAGGCAGGTTGTGGGAACGTGCCCTGAGGGGCAGAGGCTGGACAGCACAGCCTGCTAGGTCAGAACTGGCCCGGCCCTGCTCTCTGGTTCTGCTGCATCAGTCTTCTCTGAGCCCATAGTGCAGAAACTTACACAGGACCTGGGTGGAAGTATAGACTTTCCCTGGCAACTGGGCAAAGAAGGTCTTCTGTGCTGGGACCCCATCTCATCACCCAGTCTCCTCTTCATTCGTTCACCGAGCAAACATGCGGTTCAGCCCTCCCCAGGCCTCCGGCACTGACCCACCCAGCCATTCCCTGGGGAAGGAAGACCAGAGATTCATCAGGTGGTCTCCAGGGAGACCTTCCCCTTCTGCGGTTTGTCCAGGGAGGAGAGTCAGGAAGCTGCAGAGGCCTGAGACCCTCCCTGTGTCCATAAGCATGAACATAAGAAGAGGCTCTGTAACCTGAGGCCAGTCACTTAACTTCTCTGGGCCTCCTCTCCAAGTGATGGTCATCTATCATCATAACTGCCCATCCTACATCCCATGGTCACCGTGGGGATCACAGGGGTGACTCCAAGGGACTTGGGCAAATGTTTATGGACTTTATGCCACCAGGCACTGGGCCCTGAGCGGGGCAGGGTGGGAGCCTCAGCCCCTGCCGTGGATGTCCTTTCCCTGTGGCACTCCCATCTCGAGAGCCACAAGTCTCCGGCCACCCTGTGATGAACTGCAGCGGGAGAAGTGGGCAGCAGAGATCCCCGACTCTGGGATGAGGCAGTTGGAGCCACTCTGGAAGAATCCGGCACTCAGGAGATGCCAGGGGTCACACAGCCGTCTGAAACACTGACTCAGCCTTCCGAGGAGTCCCCTCACCTGTCACCTGCCCCCCTGCAAGGAAAGGGGCTGGCTGGGAGCTGCAGGTGTCAGAGGACCCGGGTGGCATCCCTGGCTCTGGTGCTGATGCTGCTCATTCCCCGAGCGACCTTGAGCAAGTCATTTAATCCTGCTGGGCCTCGGTTTCCGGATCCGTGTAATTGGGATAATAATAATGTTTACTTTGCAAGATTGTTGTAAGGATTAAATCAGACAACAGATGTGCCAGTGCTTTGTTTAAGAGAGAGAGAGAGAGAGAGAGAGAGAAGTTAAAAAGAAAGAAAGTACAGATAGTATCTAGGCAGCGGCGCTTTGCTTCCCGATCTGTGAAACGAGGCTAATGATGCCTGCCCTGTCCCCTCACAGGCGCGTCGTGAGCTTCGGATGAGATGATGGCATGAACATTGTCTGCAAATAAACATGCAGTGCATATGTCAGAGATTACTGCTGTTGTTGCTATTATAGTTAGAATACAAGGGGATTATACATTTTATTAAAGTATAATTATTGTTTGTCGGCGGCTCCATAAAATCCGCCCAGCCCAGAGCCTGCCAGCCCTGCCGGAGGCCAAGGGTGCCCTCAGCCTGACCTCTCTGCTCCTCTCCCCGCAGTGCCGCCCGATGACCCGGTCATCCTGGGGGGCCCTGTGATCAGCCTGAGGGCGGGGGACCCACTCAACCTCACCTGCCACGCAGACAACGCCAAGCCTGCGGCCTCCATCATCTGGTTGCGGAAGGGAGAGGTCATCAATGGGGCCACCTACTCCAAGGTGAGGCCTGGGGGCAGGAGGAAGGGCGGGGCTTCGTGGGGATGGGGCGGGGCCTCATGGGCGTGGGGCGGGGCTGCGTGGGGAGAGCCACCACTCCCCATCTCTATCGCTCCTGCTCCCTCTGTGTGTGCTTTTTGTCTCATTCTTTGCTACCTCTCTGTGTCTTTCTTTTTCTCTCGCGCTCTGTGTCACTTTTTCCCTCTCGTGCTGTGTTTCTATTTATCTGACCTTTTCTGTTTCCCCGACTGTGTAACTCTGCCTTCTCTTCTTTCCTGGGGTAATTACTGGGCTCGGCCAAGACCCTACGAATAGAGTATGGTCGGAGGAGGAGACTCAGGGGCAGAAGTGGCCAGGGCCTGGGGTTGCCAGATAAAATACAGGACACCCAGTTACATTTGAATTTCAGTATAAGTATGTCCCAAATATCACATGGGGCATCATTATGCACCATACTAATCTAAAACAATTATTCATTGTGTGTCTGCAATTCAGATTTAATGCAATTCAGAGTGTCCTGTATTTTTATTTGCTAAATCTGGCCACCTTTCCAGGGCTACTGGGTAAGGCTGTTAAGTTCTCCCCGGCCCCAGATGCACCTGACTCAGGGGCCAGGGAAGGCTGGAATCCAGCCCATACTCCCTTACCTTGCCCTGCACCCTGCTCTACCTACCTGCAGGGGTGCCTTTCTGTCATTCACATGAAGTGCCATGAATTGGAAATGCCCTGAACTCACCCCTGTATTAGTTAGGTTTTTTTATTTTCTATATTTTTTGATGCTTTGACATCTCAAAGCCTTGCAGATGAGGAGGGACTTTCACTCCCAGGGTTAGCTAATTCCTGGAGACAGCAAACCAAGGTGCTGAGAACAGGCCTTTGCTGGGCCAACCTAACAATCCCGCATCCGTACCCACACCTCGTCCTTTATCAGGCTGGCAGTCCCAGGTGCGAATCCTCCTACCCTAAATCCTCAGGGCTGGATCCTGGGTAACTAAAGATCACTCCTAGGGCCTAGAGCCTGTGGAAATTGTTCAGACCACCCAATCCTAAACTCTTTCGGCTACCCACGCTGCCTTGTCCATTCTTTCCCACAAAACTACAGTAAAGACTTGCACCGTATTTTCCCCTCGTTCCCTCTGTCTCCTGACCAACCCTTCCGCCCTCCGTGGAGCCGCAAGCGAAACTGTGAGGAACAAACTACCTTCTTCATGGCAGTCATCTCCTGAGCTGCCGGCCTCACCCCTACCTGAATAAAAATAAAATCCCAGGGACATGTTAAAGCAGCTTCCACCAAACTCCAGTCAAGTAAAATTGTAAATAGCGTCCTAGACTGCATTTATATACCACAGAGCCTTTAAAGATGAACAGGACTGTAGAGGAGGGCCGGTCCAGTTCCCTTGATCCGCAGGTAGAAAACCGAGGCCTGGCAAGAGAAGTGACTGCCCTTCTCAGTTGGTGAGTGGCTGGAAGGACAGTCTCATGGTGCCCGGGGCTTCACTCCTTCCTGTGTTCCTCTCAATACCGCCTCAGACAGATGGGCGGCTGCTGAGAGGTTGTGTCAGGCCCCAGGGCCAGCCAACAAGCCCTGGCTCTGAAACTAGAGGTCTCTCCTCTCCCTGTGGCTCTCCCTGGCCTCAGAAAGTGGGGAGATGCATACGACCTGTTCCCCACTCCCACCCAACCACCAGCTCCACTCCCTGGGTCTTGAAAAGATAAGCAAGGGGGTGCCTGGGTGGCCCAGTCAGTTAAGCGTCCGACTTCGGCTCAGGTCATGATCTCGAGGTTTGTGAGTTCGAGCCCCACATGGGGCTCTGTGCTGACAGCTCGGAGCCTGGAGCCTGGAGCCTGCCTCGGATTCTGTGTCTCCCTCTCTCTCTGCCCCTGCCCCGCTCAAGCTCCGTCTCTCTCTCTCAAACATAAATAAACATTAAAAAGATTTTCTTTTAAAAAGAAAATAGAAGCAAGGCTTTCACCATCAGCGGAGGGTATGAGGCAGGACTGATGCTTCTCTGAGGGTGTGTCCTTCCTATCCAAAGCTGACCACCCCATCAGGGCCTCACGCGGAGCCTGGTGCCAGAACCCAGGACAAATGCCTTCCCTCGGGCATAAGTCCACCCAGGGGGAAGCTGCCCATTGAGAAATAAATCCCTCACCCATGTCCTGGGCTGGAGCCCCTCTGTTGTGTTATGAAATACAAAAATACAGCACAGGCAGTACATCACCCACATAAGGATGAAAAGGAAGGTAAGGGGTGTTCCTTCCTATCTGGGCATCTGTCCATTCCCTCTCTGAAGTTGGGCCAGCCTGACCCCTGCCAAGGTTTACTTCCTGCAGAGGACACGCCCCCATGGTAAAGAGAAAGGTCAGAGTCACCGTGCTGAACCTGTCCGGGGGCCGCCCTTGCCCCCAGCATGTTGCCCTCATGATGTGGATTTGGCCCCGCTGAGAGTCTGGAACCATGCTACAGCTGACCAGAGCAGGGAGGCTCGCTCACCCTCTGTCCCACCCAACCCTGTTCACACTCCCGCAGGCCTATGGCCCGTGTGACAGCACCAGGCAGTGAGGGGCCAGCATTCCAGACCCTGCTCTGTGAACCTCAGGAGAGTCATTCCTTGGGCATCAGTTTCTTCTCCCATAAAACAAAGGGGTTGGATCAGACTCTCTGTGTTAGTAGGCTCGGGCCGCATAGCAAAATACCACAGACCAGTGGCTTAAACAATAGGCATTTGTTTCTCACAGGTCTGGAGGCTGGAAGTCCAAGATCAAGGTGCCAGCTCTGGTGACTTCTCTCTTCCTGAAAGACAGCATGTTCTCTCTGTGTCTTCACATGGCCTTTCCTCTGTGTGTGCAGAGAGAGGCAGATCTCTGGTGTCTCTTCCTCTCCTTATAAGTACACCAGTCCTCTTGGATCAGGGCCCCACCCTTATGACCTCATTTAACCTCCGTGACCTCCTTAAAGTCCCCATAGCCTCATGTAGTCACATTGGGGGTCAGGGCTTCTCCATATGAATTCTGGGCAGGGGGACAGACCCGTCCATAACAGGCGCCTGCCGTCTCTGACAAGGTATAAACCTACAACTTGGAGCTCACGGAGAGGGGGGATGATCCAGCAGTGTTCACATAGAACCAGCTCTATGGGCTATCAGGCCCCACCCCTCTGCCTCCCCGCTTCTTCCGGGATTGCAAGGACCATTAACACAGGCACTGCCGACGTCCGGAAGGCAGAGCAGCCCCAGACAAGCTATGCATGAGGGGCCAGGGCCATGAGCAGCTGAAACAGACAGGGACAGAGAGAGAGATTGAGAGAGCGCACAAGTGCACACACAGCCAAGCTGTGTCCAGAGTCCACAGAAAAGATCCCCCGGGGACAGCCCTGACAGCCCTGAGTTCTCAAGCCCTTGGTATGTGTCACATAGTGGTGGGTCAGCCCCTGGGCCCGGGAGCTGGGCAGCCTCACTTTGAATCCAGCCTCCACCACCTTCCAGCTGCCTAACCTTGCCGTGCCTCGGCGTCCCCATCTATACAGTGGGACCCAGACGGCACCGGCCTCAAGGGATACCTGTGAGGCTTGAATGAGAACCCTGCCTGGGCCCCTCCTTTGATCCTCACAGGCCCTGGGGTTCGCCCTGCTGTCTGCTTTCCTAGATGAGAATGCCCACCTCATGGTCGGGCTCCGTCACATATTATGGTGATTTAATCTCTCTGCCTCAGTTTCCCCAGCTGGAAAACAGGATGACATTAACCATGGACGCCCGTGAGGATGGCTGAAACACGGAAAAGGAATTATGCATTGAAGGCACCTGGCATAGAGTCAGAGCGTCGGTCGTGTTAGTCCCTCCCCTCAGAGCTCTGCCTCACTCACCCCGCTTCTCCCTTCTCAGAGGTCACACAGCAGTCCTGGTTTCATGGAACCTTCTTTCTGCTGTCCAGCAGGGAAGCAGGGGAAGGATGAGCTGGTAGGATGGAGGGCGGCACTACTGAGGATGGCCAGGCCCCTTGACCTGGGAGGTCAGTCAGGAAAAAGAAGCACCCTCTGGCCCACCGCCCACCCCCCAGCATAGGCTGTGGTGCCTCTCCCTAAACATGCTGTCACCAGAGCCCTCCTGGCCCGGTCGCTTGGGTGCATGCCTGGGACTCCGGCAGGTGTCTGGCTGGGGCAGCATGGGAGCTGGTGGCAAGGCTTCACTCCAAGTCCTCTCCGACTGGACGTCCAGCCTCAGGCTGCCTTCTCTGGGCCTGGCACCAGAATGGAGGCCACATGATATTCATCTGGAAAGCCAGCAGATTCACAAACCAGGGGAGGCACGACAGGTTAGGGAAAAGGGGGGAAGACGAGCCGGGCTGAGCCCAGAGACAAATATTCCCGGAGAGCCAGCTTCTTGCTCCATCTGTTACCTCCCCAACAACTGCCAGGTGGCAGGACGCAGCCTTGACCCTGATGGGGGAGGGGGAGCCGGAAGGAAGGTTGTTTGGTCTTAGGACCCTCGAGTCGTGTATGTATCTACCTTGAAGCCCCTTATTCTCCAGCCCTACCTCTCTGCTCCCTCCAGCTTCCGGCTGCTGCCTGCCCAGGGGCCACCCACCCACCATCAGGACCAGGAGCCTCCTTAGGGCCCCTGCTAAGAGGGACCCTGGAAGAACACTCCTTAAGGCCCTCACTGGGACCCAACTCCCTCCATGAGCCCCCTCCACTGTGCCTTCTCTCCCCACTAGTCACCCCGGCTCTGCCCTCCACCCCCTCTGTTTATCTTAAGGGCCTAGAGTCTCTACCAGGGTGGCAGTTGCCTGTCATCTGGGCCTCCTTTGTGAAGGGCATCCATTCTCAACCAGGGCACAAGACTGGGGTCCCTGAGGATGCAGGGTCTGGGGTAAATGGCACTGTGGTTCTCCACCTTTCCTTACAGCCCTCATTCAAGCCATGTGACCACAGGCCATAATGGATCCCCCAGGCAACTACAAAAAGGGGAAAGCAGAGAGTAGATTTAAAAAAAAAAAAAAAAAGGACACGGCAGGTGGGGGAGGTGAGTGAGGAAGGGAGAAGAGAGGAGGCCTTGTTGCCAGGCAATCAGGCCTCACTCAAGGGCTTTCCAGTCTGTTTGCATATCAATGAGCTTCCCAGATTTAGCACCAGGGATGGGGCACCCACCCCCTGCATTCCCTCCAAATCTGCACATCCACCGCTCCCCACCTGTGGTTCCCACCCAGACATCACCAGGCCTCCCATCTCTTGGGGTGCAGCCCGGCTCTCCACTGCCCAGCTGAGGCCCTGGGGGCTTTGGAAAGAGCAGAGCGGCCACTGCTGGACGACCGCACACAGGAAGCGCTCTGTCCCCTCAGCCCCACCTCCAGGTCACTGCCAGTTGAATGCCAAGTGCCTGCCCTCAGGGATGGCACAACGGGGCTGGGTACACAGGAAGCTGCAAAGGGCAGGCAGGGTAAGCGGCACCTCACACAACCACTGGGACAGTCTCAGAAGTTCCTTGGAAGTCCCTAGTGGATGGAGGCCAATGGACACAGAGGAGTGGAAGCCCACCCATGAAGGCTTCTGCTCTGACACTCCTGTGCACCTGCCTCTGCTCCATATCTACATACATGGGTGGGCTGGGTCCCGGTAGAGCCTCGGGAGCTGCCATCAGGGTCCCATGAGCCAGGCTGAGTGACTCTGAGGTTGGGGGTTAGCAGCACACTTCTGCCCACCAAGCTGGAGGGAGGGCTGCCCCAGGTCTTAGAGGTGGTGGCCCCAGAAACAAAGTGACTTGCCATTAATCATCCACTTACACTCCCTGAGCTGATCTGCATCTTAATGAAGGTTTCTGGAGCAGGAGCTGGGAGGCTGGGGCCCAACGTGTGTCCCCAGAGTCAAGTTCAGTGAAGGGAAGACAGGGAGAAGGAGCCGGGAGGGGAGGGGAAGCAGGCTGTGACAAGAACCAGCAAATGATAGAATGTTCCACCTGGCCTGTACCTTCAAGGCCACAAAATCCAAAGGCTTCATTTGCATGTGAGAAAAGGGGAGAGTCGGGAGATCTGTGAGAGGGAAATGTAGGAAAAGAAGAGAGAAAAGAGAAAGAAGAGGAGAGAAGATAAGGAAGACAGGTGGAAGGAAGGAAAACCAGGTTGAGAATTGGGACTGAGGCCAAGCACTGCCTGCGGAGCAGACAGGCTACCGGGCCAGACGGGGCTCGGCTTTACACCTGCAGGTCGGCCCACCAGCCTGGCCCTCCCCAGGACCACCCTACTCCATTGCCTGCACACTGGCGCTCCTCTGCCCAGGGTCTGGATCCCAAGGAGCTGGAGCTCAGGGTGAGATGCTCAGAGCCTCTCCCAAGGGGGCGCCAGCTTCCCGGCCCTGCCTTCCTCTCACTCTCCCCTTGGTTAATGAACACGTCTCCCTTTTCTCTAATTAGCTGGAACAAACAACTTGAACCAGAATTTTTAGTTCCCAGAAAAGCACATGCCCGGACACAGTAAATATGTCATTAATCATCATTCTGAGGCACAGGAGCACCCTGGGTACTGGGAGGAAGGGAAGCAGTCAGAGGGCCTAATTAGGAGCTCAGGCCTCCCCGCTCCCCTCCCGCCAGCACCCCGGCAGCTCTGTTCCTTTCCACCAGGCAGAGAGCAGATCAATTGGAGAGGTTCCCGGCAGAGTCAAACTTAATGTAAATGTTCTTGTTAGCACAAGGGTAAAAGTAAAGGAAAGGGGATGAGGAAGAACAATACCCACCTCTTCCCCCCCCACCCTACCCCAGGTCTTATTTCCATCCAGGAAATTGTTCTTATTATCGCTTTGCTATTTATAGACACATGAAGTCTGCTGAAGAGTCCGGAACCGTTACTGTGGTGCGGCCACAGCTCCCTCTGCTCTGACTTGGCTTGGGGCTAAACCGCTCTCCCCTCACCCCTGTTTGGCTGGCCTCCAGTTTAGCGCCCTGGCCCTGAGACTGATCTGCAGACCCTTATCCCACTGACTTATCCCACACCCACCCCTTGGCTTGCTGGGGCTGAACACATCGCTCCCCCCGGCCCTGGCTCAGTTCCAGAACCCCTCTGCCCAGGGCTGAGGCCCAGGAAAGAATGTGTGGTGAGGCCTCAAGCCACGGGAGCCTGCCCAGGCCTAGGTAGTTCTAGAACAAGCAAGAGAAATAGTCTGGACCACTGCCCTGCTCTGTGGATCTCTCTGGCATCAGGACCTGGCTTTGTCTAAAGCTGGATATGCTGTTCTAGACAGAGGCTCATGTCATGTTCTCCTGGTGTTGGAGGCTACAGGCTTTGCCCCATGCTGAGAAGGACCCCCCAGAACTGAGGACCCAGAGAGCAGGTTCCAGCTGCCTATGTGCTGTTAAACAACAAAAATTCAACTAAGTAAATGTAAAGATCTAATTGGCTTTAGTAAATGATTCATAAATCGGGAGGCATCTCATCTAGGAACTGGAAAGTTCCAAGGAGGTCTACAAAATGGAAGGTTTTTAAAGGCAGAGAAGGGGCAGAATAAAAGGAAATTATAATCAAAGAATGAATTATTTCAGGCAAGTTCACTCTTAGGAGGCGGTAACAGAGGGATGACCTCCTCCTGCTAACCAAGAATTTCTAGGTTGGCTGGTGAAATGTCACATTCCGGCAGGGCTGGGGTTTGAAACTGCATTAGGTTAAGTGTTAAGTCCTTGCTGATGTGGGGCCCTTAACATAAGTAACTCCATTTTAGGCCTGCTTTCTCCTTTTCAACACTGCTGAGTAGCTCAATGAACGTAAAGTGCTTAATCCCTCGAATTGTTCCCACCTTCAAGTGAAGATCATATTAACCACCATCTAGCTTTCAGGGAGCCGTGGTGTGAGGGTCCTGGGCTCTGGGGGTCACCATTCTCAAGTGCAAATCCCAGCCCTGCCTAACAAGTCCCCGACTCACTTTGAACTAAGTTTTCTACTAAGTGGAGATAATGCTCCCTTCCTTGTGGGGTCCGGTGAGAACAGTGTCGCTGTTATCTTAAGGGAGGTTTTGAGAAGTAATGTCTATTCGTCTATCCCGTGGCCCTAAGCAAGCCAAAATAAGATGGCGTCCAGCACCCTTCTCTGGAGGGGGTTAAGGAGCTTCCCAGGATCGGAAGTCTCTGAGTACCGAACAAGTCCAGTCCCACCTTGGAAGTGGCTCCCCTGCCAGACACAGCTCCCCAGCACCTTACCTTAGTGGATCACCGTGAGCTCGGGGTGCGGTGCGGGGCACCAAACTGATGGGGAGGTAGCCGGAAGGGGGCACAGCAATGATGGCGGAACTAGCTGCAGCATGAGCCCCTGAAAACAAAGGGATGGAAGGCAGGAGACCGAAAGGCTTTCAGGCATTGCATTTGTTCCCAAGGACTGCCCTAACGAAGCACCACAACTGGTGCTTAAGACAACCAAAATGTATTGTCTCTGGGTTGTGGAGGCCAAAAAATCTGAAAGCAAGGTGTCAGCAGGCTGTGATCCCTCCAGGGAGAGTCCTTCCTTGCCTCTTCCACTCCCGGAGGCTCCCAGCGTTCCTTGGCTTGTGGCCACATCGTTCCGGGCTCTGCCCGTCTTCAGGTGACCTTCCTTGTTTCTTTCTGTGTCCTCTCCTCTTCGTCTGAGGACATTAGTCATTGACTTTACCCTCTCCCCCAAATCCAGGATGATCTCAAGATCTTAACAAGTTCCCAATTACTTAGCTTATCTCTGAAGACCCTAATTCCAAATAAGTTGCCATTCTGAGGTTCCGTGAAGACATGCATTGGGGGGGTGGGGACGCTCTTCAGCCCCCTGTCGGACCCTCTTACTTTTCTCAACCCCAACTTGAAGGGTAAGTTCGGTGGAGCTGCATGGGCTCTCCTGAGCTTACCTGTTTTCTCATCTGTCACGTGGAAGATAATGGCATCTGTCCTGCCTGTGATGGGTTGGGGCTCTAATGAGGTCAGGAAGTGAAATGACTTGAAACGTTGGAAGGGTTCACATAGATAAAGCAATACCTGCATCCCCGCTCCAGCCCTGCCCTTACCTCCATGCCCCCATGCACCAATCTGCCGCTGGGCGAATTCTCTGTGCTGCCTGCAGACCCAGAGGCTCCCCCCAACACCAGAGGACACCTGCAACCTGATTTCCTTTGGGCCCAGCCTGGTTTCTTTTACGCTTTGGGGTATACAAGTCCAGGCTGATTGTCCCCCATGATAGAAGACCTTCTAGTTTCTGTTTCCTTCTGCAGCCCAGTGCTCGAGTAACCCCCCAGCTCTCCACAGAGACTTGCACCCCTGGGTGTCCCGACCTGAGGGCTCCTTCTCCTTCAGTGAGGCTGGAGCATGTCTTCCTGCCCAGGACATCACCGCTGAGTGACATGTGGCCTTCTTTCCCTGCCCTCCTCCCCCCTCCCCCCGCCCGGCCCCAGACTCTGCTTCGAGACGGCAAGCGTGAGAGCATCGTGAGTACGCTCTTTGTCTCCCCCGGCGATGTGGAGAATGGACAGAGTATCGTGTGCAGAGCCACCAACAAAGCCATCCCCGGAGGGAAGGAGACTTCAGTCACCATCGACATCCAGCGTGAGTACTGACGTGGCCCCCAGGCCTGGGGCAGGAACCACCCGGCAGTCCCTGCCCGGAGCACGGATTGGGGGAAAACGCCAGGCCTGGATAACCAGCTCCCTAGAGCCACACGCCAGCTTCTTCTTGCCCCCTCTCTGGGGGGTGTCCGGAGACAGGAAATGGGTCAGACAGCTCCCCGGACTGGCCGGGTTTGTATTTATGGGCACCCAAAGGTCTTGTCCTTCTTATTGTCACATGAAGTAACAACATCAGATGAGGATCTTTGGCAAATGACATGGTCAAGCCACACGTCCAAACCTGTATGAGGTAGAACTTCCACATCAGTAAATATCTGAGTCAGTCCCCGAGCCTGCTTTCACCAGAGGGCCCCTTCTTGAAGAGGAAGCCAGAGCAGAGATACTGGGGGCCACAGGGTGTTTGGGGCCCCAGAGTGGGTGAGCAGCACATACCCTACAGAAGCTAGGGACCCAGGGGCCCCTCTCGTGGAAGGGGCGGTCAGGGAGAGAAGAAGAGTGGTCATTCAGTCAGCCCACACTTTCCACGTAATATTTCATCTTTACAACAACCATTTGGGTAGGTGTGACAGTGGTCCCTACGTGGGGACACCGAGGCACCCAGAGGTTGATCAGCTTGCCCAAGGCCACATAACTGTCAAACGCAGACAGCCTCGCTTTCCAGAGCCCGCACTGGTAACCCCTCCTCTACACTTCCCCACAGCGGGCCCTCAGCGAGCGTCTGTCCTCACGATTAACGTTAACAGGATTGATGCGTTAAAACTCCCCCAGCATCCTATTCCAAAAGTCACCTAAAAAGACTCCTTAACAGTCTCCTAAAACCTCCCTAAATTTTCTGTCAGCCCCGGAGAACAACAACAACAACAACAACAACAACAAAAATGTTCAACAAGGTGGTCCTGCGGCCTTCCTCCCAGTACCGGACTAGTTTAGGTCTGAGGTCTCAGCACTCAAAAGTTGACTTTTCTTCTCTTAAATCCCCCTCCCTGCCAGGGAGCGTGAGGCCACCATGTGCCGGGGGCTGTTTTGGTGCTACACTAAGCGCTACAGGCTGGCATTCATTTCCTTCTTATTATTTCATTCATTTTAAATCAAATTCATTTACAAACCTTTCCCAACAGCCTGGCTCATCTCAGCCTTCTGGATTCTGAGCTCCACCTGGCTCCGCAGGCAGGGATCTGGAGTCCAGAGGGGCGGGGCCCAGTGAGCCGAAGTCCTTACTCTGTCTAGAATCCTGGCAGCTGCCACTTAGATCCCACAGGGCAGAAGAAACAGTTGTAACCCTCAGTCCCGCTCTAGAGACTCAGACACAGAGGAGTTCTTGGAGAAGGCTTCATCTTCTCTGTCCTCACTGGCTAGTAACCCCCACTCCCTCATCACCACCAACTATTCTGTTCCTCATTTAATGAGAGCCAAGAACAGTGGGGCTCTTGCCAGACCCAGGACCAGGCTGAGGGGAGGGAGCCGCTCACTCGGAGGATCCCGGATCCCGTGAATACGGGGCTGCCCTGAGGGGGCTGCCTGTCCTGCACCAGCCCTGGCTGTCCACACCCACCAGCTTCTTCTGAGCAGCAGCTGTGGGCCCAGCTCTTGAGAAAAAGCAAAATACTCCGGGGATCAGGTGGTCCAGCATGCAAAAAGGCCCCACCACCATGGGCTGTGTGGGCCTAAGCTTGTCACTTTATTCTGGGGATACCTGTTCCTTGTCCTGTGACCGAATGATGTCTAGAGTTTCTTCTTGCCCTTGGATTGACCGTGATCAGAGCTGTCTTCAAACACAAGCCAGATCTGGGAGGCATGTGGGTGGGGGACAAGAGACATCCAAGCCTCCCACTGCTGGGCTGCCGGTGTGTCCCCCGCCAAGCCCCAACCTGGTCAGGAGGCCCACGCCAGCTACGGAGTCCGCACGAAAGGAGCCAGCCGGCAGCCCCCCACGGCAGCAGCCTGGCCCCGGCAGGGGGACACCTGGCGGCAGCCACACTCCCCTCCAGGCCATTCTCCATCACACCAGGAGAAGCTCTCCTGTCAACAAGAAAGGCATCATCCTAATAGCCCACCAACTATTACTAATGCCCTCTAATGAGATGATCAATTCACCAGGGCACACAGATGACGGTCTGCATCAGAGGAGGAGGACGCCAGCCTTGCCGGGTCTCTGCGCCCTGGCTGGCTGTCTTTCCAAGGACACCTCAGCCCCAGGAGGTGGGAAGCATCAGGAATGAGATCGGAGAGTAGCCGAGGACCCAGGTGCCCGGTTCCTAGGTGGGCCCCGTCTAAGGCAGGACAGGGAAGTGGTTAAGGCCACAGCATTCTTCCTGGTTTGAATTCTGGCTCCTGCCCCCTACTAAAGGATGTTGGCCTGGTTAGTTAACCTCTTTGTGCCTCAGTTTCCTCATCTGTATGTGGAAGTGGCAATGCTGACTTCATCTGGTGGCCGTGAGGATCAAATTAAGTCCTTCAGGTGGCATTTGGAGCACAGGGCTAGGCACAGGGGGAGCACTCCACACCCGCGAGTGTCCCCGTGTGCGGTGCCCCTCCCAGCCCTGACAGGGGACAAGCCTCCGTCCATTTGCGCCCTCTCCTAAGGTGCTTGCATGGATCTGCCCAGCAAAAGCACACGCTCCCTCCACCACCTCCCCCAGACTCCTTCCTCCTCCATTTTTCCATTTGTTCGTTTAGTAAGCGTCCAGCTGTTTACCATGGACACCATGGGCCGGATCAGAGCCGCCTTTGCAAACCTGCTCATTTTCTCAGTCAACCAAGAAGCATCCAAACTCAGCAAAAGCGCATTTGTTGTTTGTTTCCCTTGGTCTTTATATGTTACCCAACGGAAGACAAAACCCCCAGATTGAGTAATGGGAGAGAAAGCTTAACACCCCCAAAGTCTCGCTACATCTGGACGCTGCCATCCAGCTGCCAAGTTTCAAATGAATGTGCTATAAAATCACTGAGTCATGGAGTTTCTCTCTTTTCCACCCCCTCCTCGATGTAATGCTTCCCCTGAACACACACACACACACACACACACACACACACACGCGCGCGCGCGCACACACACACACACGCACGCACACACTCGCGCACACAGGTTGCTGATGGAAACACTAACAGACTCTCAGCTGTAACATCTGTTCAATATGATCTCAGTTCCACCAGCTACATCAAAGCTGCCCTCCTGCAAGTTAATGCAACCGACATCACAAGTGGGATTAAAATCGTGTTTAATAGTTGGATATGACATACACTATTTATACCTCGGGAGCCTGCTAGACTCCTGAAAATTCATACCCTGCACATCCAGAGGAGAGGGGTGGACAGAGGGACACAGGCACCTCGGGGTCTGGGGTGGAGGTGCAGGTGAGACTAGCAAGTATATAAGCCGCCTAGGGACCCGTTCTCTTGGGGCCCTTCAAGAAAGGGGGGAGGGTGCCGAGGATTTTGCAGAGGTAAGGAAGCTTCGGGAGAGAGGCACGCACAGGATGAGCTCAGCATGGCAGGTGTGCAATGGAGATGGGGAACGGGCAGCAGGATGGGTCCCACAACAGGCATATGCTCCATTGCCCTGCTCCCCAGGACTGAAAACCCTATAAAGGACATCCAGGTGGGGAGGGGCCTCCTGGAACTACCCCCTCAAGTTCTGTGGCAGATAGATTCTAGATTCTACCAACTGGCACCATCACCTCCTCAAATACGAGTTGGATTGAGGGACTCCACTCTGCCTCCCAGGATTGGGTGGACATGGGCCAGCCATGCGTTTGGTTCCAGATGGTGAGCACCAGATTCCTCTGCCTCAGAACATGCTTCTCGAACACACAGCAAGATGCAAGCTCCTCCCTAGGTCTCCACATCTCTAGGGTGGCGCCATCAGAGCCCTGGGGTGCCCAGGTTAGCTGGCTAGCCCTGCACAGAAAGAGGGCCCCTGACTGCCATGATGTGGGAAGCTGGCAGCCCTCAGCTTGGGTTGGGGCAAGTGGCACGGAGCGGATGGGCAGCAGCTGGTAGGCGCTACAGGGTTCTGGGGGGTCTCAGCTCTCCTAGGGGGTGGGAGGAGAGCTCTCATGGCTAAGTCCCTGCCGCACTCGTCACTACTTGAATTACGCTTTAGAGACGAAGACTGAGATCATTGAAATACCTGTCATTTCGCTTGTAATTCTCCATGAAATTCCTCCACTGCTGCAGTAGCAGATGCTCCCAGGATCGTGCTCAGCCTCCAGAACTGGGGGCTCATGTGGGGAGATCGGGGTCCCCAGAACAGTCAGCCACCTGCTGCGCAGGGACCAGAGTTCTCTCCCCACCACCCCCGCCCCTGCATCTCTCAAGCCGTCTGCAGATACCAGCACAGCCCTGCGGGCCACCTCCCTGGCCCCAGCTCTGTGCAGGGAGGCAAGACCCAGCTTGGGCACCGGCAGGACAAAGCGGGGCCACAGGCTCAAATGATTCCCAGCTCTGCGGTGGGCTAGGCTCAGTTCCAGCAGGTGATTCTCTGAGGGTCTCAGAACCCCACCTGTGGTCTCAAACAGAGGCTCAGGCCGGGCCGGCTGGAGCCCTGCTCCCCTCACGGTGCCCTTCACACGCGCCCTAGAGGGGTCAGCATTTTTCTTGATGGTCTCTGAGAAATCGCCTTCTTCTTTTCCTGAAAATAGGCTGGCCTGAACCCCTAGGAAGCCCACATGCCCTTCTGGCAGTTTGCTGTGCTCATGGGTGAGGACCAGCCCAAAGATGCAGCCCAGGACCCTGGCTGGGTGGCGGGCACCAAGCTGCCCTCCTCACTCACCCCCGACTTGAATCCCGTAGACCGTGACAAGGAAGAATGGGTTCTGGTCTCTGTTTCCACCTTTCCATCTCTCCGCGTCTTTCTCCCCGTCCCTTTTCTCTAGTTCTCATTACCGTGTGGTCTTTGTCCCCAACACCCTGTCGCCTTCTGTCTGCTTGCCTCCTCTGGTCTTTTCGCTTTTAGTCTGAAGTCTTTGTCTGATTATGTGCTCCTGTGTATACATCTCTCTCCATTTCTCTGCTCTCTGCTTCTCTCTGTCTCTTTTTCTTATTCTTCCTCTGCATTTCTCAGTCTCTGTCTGTCTCTCTGTGTCGCTCTCTCATCTCCATGTCTCTCTTCTGTGTTAGTAATTCTTGCCTGTTCTTTGTCTTGTTCTTGTTTCTACTCTCTCTACTCCTCCTACTCCTCCTCCTTTTTTTTTTCCTCCTCCGTCCCCTTCTTCCTTCCCTTCTCTTTACTCTCCTTCCACCCTCCTCTCCTTTTCCTCCCACGCCTTCTTTCCACTTTCTTTCTCCTCCTTTTCCAGCTCTCCACCTTCCTACGATGAGACTCAGAGTTTGCTTCTCATTGAATGAGAAAGATCTGTCTAGAAATTGGGAGTTGAGGGCTGGTGGATACTAGTCAGGGCCCAGTGAGATGTTGATAGCAGGTAAATGCTACTTTAGTTAATAGATACTAATTAGAACTTTACATAGACAGATATGAAGATATTTAAAGATGTGTGATGAATATTAGTGCTCCATCACCCCCCATAATTTGTGCCCTGCACCCCTTCTTTGCCCACCTCTCCTGTCTGAAGTGTTTTGCTCCTCTCTCACAAATGGAAGATGGCAGGGCAGCAGGCCCTAGCCCAGATAACTGTGCTTCCTGGCTGTTCCTTTAAGCACCAGGCCTTGAATCCACAGTGGGAGCCCAGACCCCACCTCACCACCAGCAGTGCTGAAGCAGGCACCTCCAGGGAGCAAGGGAGCCCCTCTGCCCAGGGCCCCAACTTCTAGGAGCTCCACCAGCAGGTGGTGGCCACTCCTCAGCTAGAATCTTGGCCTTTGTCCCCCATGTCACCCCAGAAACTTCCCACCCATTTTTCCAAACCATGGCCAGTTAACAGCCTGCAAGGGAATCTCTTCTTCAGACCCCGTCATTAACCTGTCGGTGGAACCACAGCCGGTGCTGGAGGTCAACGCCGCCACGCTCCACTGTCCAGCTACAACTCCAGCTGCTGTCACCCAGTACAGGTAACCTACAAGGGAGGCACCGCCCACACTGGACCCCTCCCCACCCCTGCTGCCTATCACAGAGGGTGTCGATTATGGCCCTGGGCACGCAGCACAGTGCTTGCTTCGCTACCGGTGTCCAGGATCCTTCTCCCCTCCCCGCACACCCATCCAACCCCTGGCCAGGTGGACTTTTCCTTTCTCTCACGCCCATGAAATTTCAATGAACTTCCACTGGAAACAGGAGGTATTCCCCCTTCTGTCTGGATCTCTTGTTTATCCCTTCTCTCTGAAAAGAGGCAGAGAAGCTCAGGGAAAAAAAAAAAAAAGTCAAAACAACCAGGAAGAGCCGTAAGGTCAGAAGCCAGATTTTAGCCGCGTGCTTACCAAACCGTTCACCTGCGTGGGGTAAGATTTCCGGGGCCGCTGGCCCTATCCAGCAGGCACCTAGGATCGTCTATACCCTTATCCCCTGCGCGCCCCTTGCTCGCAACACTGATAAAAGCACCACTGCTTTTTACACGCTTATCTTTCCCTGTTGATGGAGCGTCTCGAAGGCAAGAACTGTAATTTAGCCACTTAGGGCGCTCAGCGTGGAGCACAGCGCGGGGCACAAACCAGGCACTTCATAATGCGGGCTGACTCATCGGGGCACCTTCCTGCCTGTGCACCGCCACCGCACAAGATTTCAGGGGATGGCGTGCCTCGGAGACGCTCAAGGGCAGACACTCACCTCCTTGAGATGCCGTGTGGAACTCGCCACGGCCCTAACTCTGTCCGGTCCTTCCCCACCAGCCCAGCGGCCCTAACTCTGTCCGGTCCTTCCCCACCAGCCCAGCCTTGATGGTCGAGCCCAGAGTGTCGCCTCTGCCATGGAGATGGGTTATTAAGCTGCAGCATCAGCCGGTGCCAGGGATGCTAATGGTCCCAGACTAGATAATCAGCCGGCCAGTGGGAGTGGAGGACAGGGGAGACGAGAGGCGGTGCAGCCCAGAGGGCACAATAAGAGGAAATGGGCCAAAGAGGCAGCTAGAGATTCAGGTTGGAAGCAAGGAGGAGCTCCCTGCAGTGCAGATAATTAAACGACACTGGAACCAAAAACCAGGAAAGGCATGGAGACTTTATCCTTGAGGATATTTTAAGAGAGGCTGGAGCCCATCTGTCCTGTCCAATTTAACCATTCACTGGGCTAGAGGCAGGAGAAGGATCCCCGAGACTGTGCGGCCCTGGAGGTCTGGAGGGCAGGTCTGGTTTGGCTGAGATCTGGCATCTGTCTTCAGATGCAAAACAAAGACCCAAAGAGATGCCCTTTCTCTGGGCTTCTACCCTGCACCTGCGATGCCTGGGCTCCTCTCTACAGGGTCAGCTTCTCTCTGCTGTCTGCTCCAGCTGTCTTCCCGCAATCCCTCAACACTAGGGCCCGCAAATGCCCATTCCCCTGGGCAGCCCTTGACCCCCACAGGCACCCAAGCAGACACATCCCACATTCACCCTCATAGCCATCCCAAGAATGCCTATTGGACCCAGGAGACCAGAGCATACAACTTCCATTTCTCTTCGCGGCCAGGCTCTGGGTCATCTGCCAGGTTATGAAGGGCTGGGCAGAGGGCAGGGCTGTGCCCTAGGACCCAGTGATGTCCCCCACTCCACCCCTGCCCTCTGACCAGGACAGGGTGAGCAAACACCCAAGAAACCAGGCTGCTGGGCCTGATTGTCAGGGGCACCACTCTCCAAAGGCAGAACACCAGTGATGTGGATGATAAGGTTCAAATCTCCGTATGGAGAGATCATCCATCATAAAGAAATATGACAAGATATTAACAACTAGTGAATCTAAGTGAAGGGAATATGGCACTTAATTGGTCTACTTTTGCAACTTTTCTACAATTTCAAAGTGGTTTTGTGTGTGTGTGTGTGTGTGTGTGTGTGTGTGTGTTGTAGTTTTGTTGTCATTTTTGTTTATTGAGAGAGAAAGCATGAGCAGGGGAAGGGCAGAGAGAGAGAAGGGAGAGAGAGAATCCCAAGCAGGCTTCCCAGCAGCAGGCAGCTTAGAGCCCAACCGGAGGCTTGAACTCACGAACCGCAAGATCATGAGCTGAGCCAAAACCAAGAGTCAGAGGCTTTGCTGACTGAGCCGCCCAGGTGCCCCACAATGTTTTGGGTTTTTTTTTTTTAACTAAAAAGTCAACAGATAAACAAACACAGAGCATGTAGGTTCTCTTGGCCTCCAGCTCCCTGGTCACAGGTCAGCCCCTGGTTACAGAGGGGCAGTTGTGTGGTGCAGGGAGGGACAGACCTCCCTGCAGATGTTCACTCCCCCTCATGGCCCTCTGATTAGCCAAAGGCCCTGAAAACACTTCAGTGTGCACCACGCTCCCTTCGGGACTCCAGAGACTTTTAGGGAACCCCTCTGGCCACTAGGAAAATTCAGGAGAGAAGGGAGAGGAGGAGAAAGGAGGGGGCAGCCCCGCCCTGCACCCACCCATGCTGGCTCCGCCCCCTGAGAGAGGGCTCGCCCAGCCGGCAGATGGTCCTTCTAGATGTGGTGTTGGGATCCAAGAGGCAAAGCCTTAAACAAATCTCCTCACATAAGTACATCGATTTTCCCCAACTGACTTTGACAAGACTGCAGGGATCTGTGTTTCTTTACTTCCATTCATCTTGATTGCTTCCTCCTGTTCCACGAAGAGGCTGTGATCTCAGAAAGTAGAGCTAGGCTTCCCTCCACTCCTGCACCCAGAAAGGGGACACGGGTGGGCATGGGAACAGGTGCAGCTGCCCCCCAGGACCAGGAGCCCGAGGCGGGCAGAACAGGCCCGAGTTCACCATGAAGTGTGGCTCCCCACCTGCTTCTCGGTATTGTCCTCCAGGCTCTCCCATGCCCCCCACGCCCCCCACAGGTACCAGGGAGGGGGGACCACCACCCAGCGTAAAACGCAGGGCTACTTAAGGACAGCCTGTCGGCTGTGACAGCCAGGCCTCCTGATTCTGTGATATAAATAAGTAATCCTCTTACATTTACTCCGGCCAAATTAGACATTGATTGGGAAAGGCTTAATCTGACTCCTTCTCAGAGGGGCTCAGGGAGGCGGTGGAGACAACAGTGGAGGCAGAGGTGGGGTGGAGGGGGAGTGCACAGGATCCAACTGGAAGGAGGAGGAGGAGAAAGCAAAGCCAAAGGAGAGAGAGGAAAGGGGAGGGCGGAGAGCTGCGGGTTTGCTCCTGGATCACCCCTGACCCTGTGGCCAACTGCTTGAAGGAGTGGTTTGAGCTTCTGGAAGAAATCCCTACAGAGGGTTTTATTGGTGTGGGAGGGAAATATAGAGGAAAGGAGGAAAAAGACTGAGCAGGATTAGGAGGAGACCCCTGGGGTGTCCCCAAAAGGCCTTGGTGTGGGGCTGCGAAGGGCCCAGCCTCCACAGCCAGCTCCTGCCCGCAACCGTGGGACAGGAGAGTCTAGGAAATCCTCCTGTGCCCCACTCTGCCACTGAGGTAGGGCCAGGCCTTAGGGGGCTAAGGGTAGCCGCTGCATAGGGGGGCAGGCTCCCACAGCACAGCACAGCTGGGAACAAGAAAGCTCGGTCCCCCAGCCGTCCTGCTGGGCTCCAGGCCTATGGGAGTCCCAGCAGTTCTAAGCTTCTCAGGGCTAAGCAGGTGGAGCTTTCTCCCTCTGTGACTTACACCATGAAAGGCCCCAGAGAAGAGGAGAAAGCCCCATCGTCTCCAGGAACTCCAATGGCAGAAGACAACGGCCCTGCGAAACCAGCTGGCCCGGGCCCTAGCTTCCCTACCCTCTGCCAGAGGCAGGCCTGGGAGAGCAGGAGAGGCTCACACTCCCCTCCTCCAGGTCCGGCCAGCTGCAGCCCCCCTCAGCCTCCCACCACCTGACCCCACGCTTCCTTCATTCAGCAAGGCCGTAGGAGCCAGAGGTTGGATGTAGATCCCCAACCGTGTGCCTGGGACTGAATTCATCTGCCTCAGGCAGGGGCTGTGCCTGACTGTGAAGTCTGGTCATTAAATTAAAGTTAGAAATTGAAATGATTCATGAATAACTCATAATAGTTTGTTGGGAAGCTCCTTAAGCTCTCGGGGAGCTATGGTTCGCTCTGTTGTTAAACTATAATTGTTATTATTAATCATGTTCTTAATAATTATGTGATATTAACTCACGATAATAACCACATGGTGCCAGCCTGGGCGCCTCATGCGATGCCAAGACGTGGCCGTCTCTCGGGGCTGGCCAGGCCGGACTGAGCATGAAGCCGGGGGAGAGAAGGCAAGAGATGGTTCTCTGTGGTGCTGGGAAAGGCTCCAGGAACACGAGAAGGGGAAGGTGAAGAAGGCAGGGAGGCTGTGGGTACCGGGAGTCACGATCCTGGGGTAACAAAGAAAAACACCCCCCAAAATAGGCTTGGAATAGGAGGAGCCTGGGTGGAGGTTCTGTGATTTAAAAAGTAATTGTTGTCGGGGCGCTTGGGTGGCTCAGTCGGTTAAGAATCCAACTTCGGCTCTGATCTCGCAGTCAGTGAGTTCAAGCCCCGCGTCCGGCTCTGTGCTGACAGCTTGGAGCCTGGACCCTGCTTCGGATTCTGTCACCCCGTCTCTCTGCTCCTCCCTAGCTCACTCTCTGTCTCTCAAAAATGAATAAACGTTAAAAAAAATTTTTTTAAAGTAAGTGTTGTCCACAATGAGGTTAAACCAGAGGAAGCTATTGGACTCTCTCCCTGGAGATCTGTAAAGAAAGGCCCACCCTCACACACACACACACACACACACACACACACACACACACACCTGGGGGCTCCTAGCACTGCCTTAGCTGCCCAGTCACTGGTCCAATGCAGAGATCACCGCCCCAGGGCCTGGACCAAGTCAAGCACAGGGCTTTTCAGTCTCTCCCCTCGGTGGGACCGATTGGCCGATGACAGATGACAGATGTCCGCACAGCCCTCTTCCCACCTGTCTGACCAAACTTGAAGGAGCCAAGGCCCTGGGGAGCGAAGCCAGGGTGGGAGTGTAGAGACTGGGCAGGAAAAAGAGCAAGTGCCCTCCATGGGAGGGGAGAGAGGGCACAATGAGGGGACCTACCCTAGGGACAGGGGTCGAGGCAGGAGAGGTAGTGAGCTGGCTGAGTGCAAGGAAGGGCCATCGGGACCCCTGGCTGATACCCCTCCCACAACTCCTCACCTTGTCTGGAAATCAAATTTCTCTGTATGTGTGTGTGCATGCGTGTGCGTGTGTGTGTGTGCATGCATGTGCATGGGGGGGTGCAGGTGTGTGTGTGGGTGCAGGTGTGCATGCATATATGGGCACATGACATTAGACCTCGGCCTTTCCAGCATGGATCCCAATAAGACAGCACCCTCAGTAGAGCTCAGGGCGGGATGGCCAAGCTGTTGGGGGACCAAGGGGTGGGGTATCCATTTCCTAGCCAGCCAGCCGGGCTGACCTACTGAGTAGTCCACCCCCCTCCCTCCAGAACAACCTGCTTGTCACGTATCCCTCTGTGGAGATTCCTGCCCCCACCACGGGACCCCTAGAGGGGCCTGCCCCATGCGTGACTCACTTTCCTGAGGGATAGGGGTTTCCAGCTCCCAGAGAGATGCCCCTGGGTGGGAGGAACACCCTGGCCACTGGAGGTCCACAGCCACATGCGGGGCCCGTATTGCAGGTGGGCCAAGAAGGGCCAGATCATCAAGGAAGCATCCGGAGAAGTGTACCGGACAGCTGTGGACTACACGTACTTCTCAGAGCCTGTCTCCTGTGAGGTGACCAACGCCCTGGGCAGCACCAACATCAGCCGCACGGTGGACGTCTACTGTGAGTGCAGCTGCTGGGGGTTTCCCCAGGCCAGCCGGCCCTGGGGTATCTCTGCTCAGGGCCAGAGGGACCGTTGCTGGACTCAACGCACACAACATAACAACGCCTCACAAGCTCACAGCGCTCCCTGCTTTAAGAAAAGCTTCCTCGTGTGCTGTTTTGTGTTTACCTTGACCCTCGTAGTAACCCAGGGAGGAAGGATTATTATTCCCGTCACTCAGATGAGGGGAAAGAGGCCCAAAGTCACTCAGTGAGCAAGTGGCAAAAGGAGAACTCAGGCCAGGCTCCTTGGGAATCTGCTCCCTCCCTTTAGAGACCCGAGGACACATCCCTTCCAACGGCCTGGGAGGGACCCCGGTGAACCAGCCCATCACTGACAGGCAGGCCGGATGTGTTCACGGCAATAAGCGTTAGCTCATCTACTACACTTTCTGATTTTAAAGGCACTTTGACAAACTTTCTTATATCTGACCCCTCCCCTTGCCCCAGTGGCCCTAACAGAAAGTGCTATTACTCCCTTTTTACGTCAAGGGACTAATTCCGGTCTCCTGACCCTGGATTTCACACTCTTCTGCTCCTCCAAAGCAGCTAAGCGGCTCCCTGCAGACCCTCCCTTCACTGCGCCTACAATTCCACCATTGCACCCACTCTGGGGACCAAGGCTTGGTCTGCAGAAGGCTCTGGTTACAGGTGTTCTGCGCTGGGGAACCAGAGAGGAGCTTCCATTAACGCTCACCAACCCTTAGCAGGGGCATGGGAAACTGGACCAGGCCCAGCTACTTCCCAGGGGTTGGAAAAAAGCTGGGCAGGGCTGGAACAGAGGATAACCTGAGGGCCCGGGGGAGCGGAGAATACAGGGAGAGGCCTGGCTTCCTCTGCCTTGTACTCCTTATCTCAGAGCCCCTTGGAGGACCCTGGGAGGGCTCTGGGACCTGGGCCCGGTGCACAGGGTAACTCAACTCCAGGGCACAGAACTGAAGCATGGAGGAGGTGGGCAATTGTCCTGAAGGCAGACACATAAAGATCCTAATGCCCAGGATTTCTGGGGCAGGAGGAAGTCCCCTCTGCCTGTGCACTGGGGCTGGGGTGGGAGGTGGAGAGACCCCCCAGAACCAGGACAAAGGGCAGGAGATGGGAGAGCCCTGGAGGCAAATCGTGGCAGAAATAGGGCTGTTGCTGCCAGTGGGTGGGCCCAAGGGAGGCCAGGGGTCTCTTACTTCCGGTGTCCCTCTCTGGGACCCCTCTCCTCAAGCTCCCAACCCATCAAGAGCCCTGTCTCCCCCTTCCTCCCTTCACAGTTAAATAGATGCTCACGAGCCCCACCGCTGCTCTGTGGGATCTGGGCTCTGATGCCGTCTTCAGCTGTGCCTGGACAGGCAACCCATCCCTGACCATCGTCTGGATGAAGCGGGGCTCTGGTGTGGTAAGTCTCAATCAGACTCCCCATATTTTGACCATGGAACTTCTGGGGCCCTCGCTAGGGATTGGGACATCAGCCTCCAGGGTGAGCTGAAGGGAGAAGAGCCCCAGAAAGAGGAGAGGGATGGGGCACCTGGGTGGATCAGTCGGTTGAGCATCCGACTTCGGCTCAGGTCATGATCGCACGGCTTGTGAGTTCGGGGCCCTGCATCCGGCTTTGTGCGGACAGCTCGGAGCCCGGAGCCTGCTTCGGATTCTGTGTGTCTTCCCCTCTGCCCCTCCCCACTATGCCTCTTTTCTGCCTCAAAAATAAAGCAGTAACACTAAAAAAGAGGAGAGGGACCCCAGTACCCACATGAACCCCTTTAACCCTAAACACATTGAACCATTACAGTTTTGCCCTATCACAAACTCTACTAAAAAAAAAAAAAGAAAGAAAAAGCAAGTGGGGGACCTGGGTGGCTTAGTCAATTGAGCGTCCGACTCTTGATTTTGGCTCAGGTCGTGATATCACGGTTCATGAGTTCAAGCCCCGAATCAGGCTCCGCACTGATGGTGTCCAGCCTGCCTGGGATTCTCTCTCTCTGTCCCCCTCTCTCTGCCCCTCTCCCCACAAATAAATAAATAAACTTAAAAAAAAAAAAAGCTGGTGGCCACCAATAATGCTGGGAGTAAAAGTCTCTAGACAGGCTTTTCAACTTCCCCCAAATAGTTAAGTAATCCTTCAGCTTTTGACTTAAATGCTGCTTTCTTCTTGTGTTCCTCTTTTAAAATATATGTGTTCTTTAGTGTGTGTGTGTTTATCAGACATCCCTCCCCTCAGGAGGACCAGCGAGAGCCTTGGGGAGGGAAGTTAAGGGAGAGGCAGATAGAAACCGACCTCTGTGCAGCCTAGTACGTGCCGGCACTGCACCACCCCATGAGCACGACTGCCCCCCACTGCAGAAATAAGGAAAGCTCAGCAGAGCAGATATGCGACTGCCGAAAGCCACCCAGGTGGTCACTGCCAAGGTCAAGATTTGAACTCAGAGCTAGCTAATGCCAAAGTCTTTGGGTCACCCCAAACTCTATCTCAAAAGGATACTGAAAATGCCTCAGAAAAGACAGGTGCAGGCACCCCCAAACAAGTTCAGCGGGACCAGCCCGGTACCGGCTGGTGGGGAGCCCTGCCTGTGTGAGAAAGCCTCAGGACCCCAGCCAGGAGGTGCCCCTCCCCCTTCCACACTCACCCCTTCCCCCATGTGCCTGGCCCTTAGACACCGAGGCGTCTGTGCTGTGGACCTCCTCTGGACAGCTCAGTGGCCACCCTGCCTCCTACCCCGCCCCTGGTTCTTACTGAGGTGCTGGAGACTGTTGTCATGTCCAGCAGGCCTGGGACACAGGCCTTCAGGTTCTTCAGGTTCTGGGACACAGAGAGAGCCGGGCTCCGTTTTCTGTATCTGATCCTCCCCCGATTCTCCTAGGTCCTGAGCAATGAAAAGACACTGACCCTCAAAACCGTCCGTCAAGAGGATGCTGGGAAATATGTGTGCAGAGCCGTGGTGCCCCGGGTGGGAGCTGGAGAGCGAGAGGTGACCCTGACAGTCAATGGTAAGACCTTCACTCATGCTAGGGGAGGTAGGAGGGAGCAGAGAGGGGCCCAAGGCATCTTGGTCCCAGGCATTGCCTCAGAGGGGCGGTCGCTGGTTCTGGACCTTGCTCCCACCTCCAACCCTGGATCCATAGCAATTCTGTCCACCTCTTCGAGCCTGTGTCTAAGCCCAGCCCCGAGGGGAGGAAGGACCTGGCTAGATGGGTCACCTTCCCCCTTCTTTGTTACTCCTAAGGGGTCCCAGCCCTAACAGTGGTAGCTAATGAATTTTATCCTGGCCAGGCAGAGAGGGTCAGAGGGTCACTAGACAGTCAATTTAGATCCCGTGTCTACCCTTGACCTTGACCTTGGCCCTGCAGGGCATTTAAGGGAGCATCTCCGTGACTCCTGGTTGGCGCCTTCCCATTGCATTAGAGCTGCTCAAGCAGAGAGACCTGCCACAATTTCCACAAGACCAAGCATTCAGGGGGTCCTCCTGAAGGCACAGAACGTGTCTTATTACACATGATAAAACCATTACAGCAGGAGAGCGTTTTCATATCTCTCCAAGAACACAGTTCGGGTTACTAGATGACTGTTAAATGACACATTTAGGGGACGGCGCGTCGAACCAGGCTCGGATGGTGGGATGCAGAAGGTCACAGAGAAGCTGGGTCAGACCCAAGAAGCCTGTAGCACCAAGATGGAAATCCGACGTCCCCGTCACGATACGTGCTTGGGCCGTGGTGGGGAACCAAAGCTGCCGGTTTGAGAGAGCGAGAAAAGCTAAGGCCAAGTCCCTCTGGTGTTTCCAAACTTCCTCTCTCCACTGGGCTTTTGGTTTCCCTTTTCAAGCCCTCTTGCCCCACGTAGTCTGCCTCATGCCTCAGGTCAAAGTCCTGGGGCTCTGAGCCCCGGACCCACACGTACAGGGCCTCTGGGTCCTGTCCCCAGATGGGGGTCCTGAGGAGGGGCTGAGTTGTGTTCTAGAAATCTGCCCCGTCGGCTTCATCTCGATCCAGGAAGCTGCCCGCAGGCAGCCTCATCTACTCTCCCCCTTCGCTGGCAAACTGAAACCGGCCTGGTGCCTCCACAGCCATCCCCTTCTGACTTCTTCATTAGCCAGACCCGCTCCATCGATTTCTTTTCCCCTCCTCCTCCCCAAGAGCCAGGGCAGCCCCAGAGGGAGGGTGAATCTGCTCAGACCCCGGGGACACTCACAGGCCGCCTGTCCTGGGCAGAACCCTGACTCAGGAGTCTTCCTGCCTTCCTCTGTGTCCCCAGGACGCCACCAATAAATTGGCGCTGCAGGGCTAAAAATAACAGCATCTGATCGCGCGCCTCCGTATATCCATGGCAACACAGGCTGCAGCCTTTTCCTGTTGCTCTGGAGTCTGACACTCAGCTCCGGCACCAGGCCCTGGTGAAATCAGCAGCTTCCCCCGCTGCCCTGCCCATGACTGCGGCCACCGGGCTGGGGGCCTTCAGACTCCCACGTGGCCTCCAGGGTCCCCACGCCTGAAACTGTTCAAGGAACATCCTCATTTCCGGGGAAAACGGTGGCTAAAGGAGGGACTGACATCCCATTGCCACTTTACACATTCAGGCATTTCCCAATAGGGATTCAAAGTGGTTTCTTGGTGGGGGAGGTGAGGGGGACGCACACATTGGAGGGACATTTCTCTTGGAAGGGGCACCCCAGCCTGTGCCCTGGCACCTACCCAGGGTTTAATCTGCACCTGCCAGGGATCATGTTTACACCCCCTCCTCTGCCTCCAGTCGTGGCACCAGCTCCCCCAGGTCTCCAGGAAGAGAAACGCCCAAGGGATCAGAGTGAAGCAAGGAAGCCGTTCGTTTGTTTCTGCCAAACTAAGGCCATCTTGCCCTGATGCCCGGGGACGGATTAAGTGGCCCAGGGGGAAGAGCCTGCCAGCCGGGCACAGGAGAGGAACTGTCTAGAGAACAGGTGCAGGGATGGCGGAGCCTTTTGGAAAGGGGCCTGCACTGGGCTCAAGAGACAGGACAGTATGAAAGGATCCAAAACGAGATGGGGTTCTCCTCACAGCAGATCCCGGCTGGTGGGCGACTGCGTCCCGTTGCCCTTTGGGGAGCAAACTGGCACAGGTCTCAACTGCTTTGGCTCCAACCCAGGATCTATGGGCAAGGGGAGATAAACCACACTCCCGCTGTGCTTTGATTGCCCAACCCCATCTACCTTTGTTCTGATTTCTTTTTTCCTCTAAAAAGCCCTTAAACACACACATTTGCCTGATGGCTTTTAGAACGCCTGAGGACCACCCCCGGAGAACTCCTAGCTCCTGGGAGGTGAAGGGAAACAGTTTTGTGGTATCATTACTTTCAGCTAACAGCGAAACAAAGTGCCCTCCAAGTTCCTAAAACATCCAGCCCTCCTGCCTTCTTGGCCAAGGACTTCTTGGAGCATAAATATCCAAGAGAGAAACTAGGCCCACCCACATTCAGAGGCAACCCGGGGTGGAAGCCCTTATCTGGAGGGTCCCGGCTGTTAGCCATCCTGAACTCAGTAGCAGTCACCTGAGTGTCTCCCAGTAGCCCCCCAAACCCGTTGGCTGAGAGGTACTCATAGAAATGCAAATCTGTTTTAATTCAGGTGGCTAATAAACAGCAATTATGTTTGCGCCATTTTTGTTTTGTTCCCAGCATAAATTTGCCTGTCCTCCAGATCCCTTGTTCCAGCTCTTTTTCCTCGCTTTTCCGCCACCAGAGCTCCAACCTTTGCCCCGGGGATTGGGAAGGGAGCATGAAGGTCTCCATCCCTACACCCCTTGTTCAACCGCCCAATCCAGCCAGGAAGTTAGCTGAACAAATGGCTGAATTAGCCTCTCCTCCCTCCCCCTCTCCCTGCCGGGTGGGCGCGTCCTGTAGGAAAGACTTAGGTTAGATAAAAGGCAGAACTGGACGGGAAGCACTCTTAGATTTCAGGTTCCAGGTGGACTGTCTAGGCTGTGGGATGAGGTGGATAAGGCAGGTACTCCTGGAGACATCGACAAACATTTCCCTCTCTCTGTCTCTCTCTCCCTTCCTACTCCCCCCCCCCCCACACACACACACTAGATGGGATGTCAGGATCAGCTTTGGAGCGTGGTCTCACCTGGTGTGTAAGTGGAAGCAGGCAAAGCAATGAACCACGGGCTCTCCTAAGACACCTAAGAGATGAGAGCTGTGAACATGTCCGGCCATTGGTGATCCCCAATGTGATCTCCCCTTGGTAGAGGAACAACATCCCACCATTTATTTCTCTTCCTCCCGGGCTTGCCCAACCTTGCGAGGACTCCTGGTTTGTTAGGCAAGAGCACCCTCTCCTGGCCGTGGGGGAAAATGGCTTGAAAATGGAAACCCCTGGGTAAGGCGGAGGTGACATTAGAGCCAGCATTACTTAGTGGCTTTCCTCCCGGACACTTCCCCTACTCCCTTCTCAGTTTCCCACCTCCTTCATAAAGCTTTCCCCACCATCCGCCAGGCAGCAGAATTCTCTCTCCTCTGAAGTCGGTCAGCACTTCATCCATACTGCTCCATTGTACGAACACTCACCACCTTTTATTACAGTTATTTATGTCTTCTGGGCATTCTGACTTAGAAGCGTTCACTCGTCATCCCTTGAGAGGTTTATGACTGAACGCTTAATTTATCTTCGAGTCTCCTGCCTTGCACTTTACCTTACACATACAGGCCTTCGGTAAATGTTTGCTGAATACTTGAATTAATGGATCAACTTCTGAACAAGCCCAAGAAGGGTCCAGCCAGGGAACCTGCCTTTCCTGAATCCCTGATGTGATGCTGTCTCCCCCACAGGACCCCCCATCATCTCCAGCACCCAGACCCAGCATGCCCTCCACGGGGAGAAGGGTCAGATCAAGTGCTTTATCCGGAGCACGCCGCCCCCCGACCGAATTGTAAGTGCCCTGGGGCCGGGAGGGGAGGGTTTGGGGTTCTGCCAGCACAGCCAGCGGCCTGGCGGGTCACCTCAGCCCGCAGCTTGTAACCACCGGGCCAGTCAGTGCACAACCTCCAAGCTTCCTGTCCTCTGTGGGGGAAAGTATACCCGCCTTGTGTCTCTTGGAAAGGCGTCACGAAGACAAGGTGATCCCAGGGTTCATCTGCAAGTGCATTTAACTCTGCTGTCCAGCTGTGCCCTAACAGTAATGCTTCCAAGCAAAATCTGCATGCTGGGAGCAGAGGGGCAAGCGAGGTTGGCTGAAAGAAATGCCAGGTGAGGGGCGCCTGGGTGGCTCAGTCAGTTGAGCGTCCGACTTCGGCTCAGGTCATGATCTTGAGGTCTGTGAGTTCGAGCCCCGCATCGGGCTCTGTGCTTACAGCTCAGAGCCTGGAGCTTGCTTTGGATTCTGTGTCTCCCTCTCTGTCTGCCCCTCCCCTGCACATGCTCTGTCTCTCTCTGTCAAAAATAAATAAACATTAAAAAAAAAAAAAAAACTTAAAAAAAAAAAGCCAGGTGATTTCTTCCCTTTCCTGGGTTCAAGGCAAACTTTGGCAAAATCTTAAAGAGTATGGTTTATAGTCCGCAGACTCCTTTTCTGCATGCCCTAGAGTCCTTCTATGTTGGCCTCCACTGCCCTAATGCCCACGGAGAGCCCTACCCGACTTATCAAGGTTTCGCCTCTAAAAGTATCATTCCATTTCCCCTCCCTTCCTCAAAACTCACGCCCGCAGTGCAGCTAAGGCAGCCTGAAGAGTTCACACTTTGGCCCTGCTGGGTGTTTGCGTTTGCAAAAGCAAGGGTCTTCACCCAAGTCCATCGGAAACTGGTGCAAGCCCAGGCAGGAAAACAAAGATGAGCATTTCCCAGCATTCCTGGGAGTCAGATACTATTTTTAGTAAATCCCCATTGCCTAGGACAGACATCTATTCTATCAGGACATAGAAGACTGCCCCAGGGTCAGCTCCACAGGGCTGTTCGACCCTCCCACAGTGTGGTGGTGCCAGGGAGGGCGTAGGGGACGCGCACTGAACAACAGGTGCCTGTGACTGCCAGAGGCTGGGCTGCTGAGGCTTTAAAGCTAAAGATGTCGTTCTGTAAACTCCGATTATTATCAGAGTATTATTGCTGTTACATACTTTCTCGGGCATTCAATTCACTCACCATCCAAAAATTCACACAAAAATTGCAAGAATTCACCCATAGAACTGATACCTACACCTCCCCTTTCGCTTCACTCTTTAATATTTTAAAATGAGGGGCACCTGGGTGGCTCAGTCAATTAAGCGCGCGACTCTTGGTCTCGACTCTCTGTGAGATCGAGCCCCACATCAGGCAATGTGCTGGCAGGGTGAAGCCTGCTTGGGATTCTCTCTCTCTCCCTCTCTGCCCTTCCCCCCATTCTCCCACATGCTCTCTCTCTTTCAAAATAAATAAATAAACGTGTTTAAAATTTTTAAATGATAACTGTAACACATGCCCATTGCAGAATAGTCGACTCACTCTTGATCTCTCTCTTCATAGAGCTCTGACTCTTGGCCAGTGGTTCTCAACCGGGACAATCTTGCCCCCCCACCCCCACCCCAGGGACATTTACCATTGTCTGAAGACATTTTTGTTTGTCACAATTGGAAGGGGGCCACCAGCATCGAGTGGGTGGAAGCCAGGGATAGTGACAAACTTCCCTCAGTGCATGGGACAGCACCCACAACCAGGAATGATCCAGTCCAAAATGTCACCCACCCCAAGCATGAGAAAGCACTGTTGGCTCCCCAGTGCCCTCCAAGCATTTGCCTGCACTGACCACCATCTTCTCACAAGATGAGGCTCAGTCACTCTGGGGCTGGTCTTCTGCCGCTACCTGCCAGGGCAGCACAGGGTCAGGGGTACCCGCACAGGCCAGCCGAGGGAGGGCTCCAATCGCTGTCACAGCGTTCCTTGTTTGCCTGGAAAATGTCCCAGTGCAGACCCACTTAAGGCTTCCCTTAAGACGATGGAAATACCATCTGGGAGGCAGCATGGTGGCTCTGGTAGGCATCTTCTCCTAACTGAGCAACTTGGACAGGCCTGGTCCTGGAAGGAGAACGTGCTGGAGTCCGGGACGTCGGGGCGCTACACGGTGGAGACGGTCAGCACCGAGGAGGGGGTCATCTCCACCCTGACCATCAGCAACATCGTTCGGGCTGACTTCCAGACCATCTACAACTGCACTGCCTGGAACAGCTTCGGCTCTGACACGGAGATCATCCGGCTCAAGGAACAAGGTAGGAGCTTCAAGGGCCACCAGGGGGTGATGGGACCAGCAGACCCCCTCCCCACCTAGGGCAGGGCCCCAGGCGAGGTCTTCCGGGGTCCTGAGGGGACAGAGCCCAGCTAAGGCTACAGGCAGATTGAGCCCAAGGACAAGTCACAGCGCTCTTCCTAATGTGCTACACGGCCTTGGTCAGGTCACCGAAGGGGCTCTCTTTGGTCCAGGTCCCCCAAGACAAAGCCATTATCCCACACCAGGAAAGGAGACGGGGAGAAAGCTGCTGAGGATGATGGTTCTTCAGGGCAACGTTTTAGGGATAGGTGACCGACCACAGAGCAAGCCAAATTGACTGCCATGATCAGCCTTCCAGCAGCTTCTAAGGGCCCTGGCTTCTGTGCACTTGGCATTTCCCTAGTGCCCTTAGGGGTGTGTGATCCACTGAGGACTGTCCCTGCGGGGATACACCGGAAGCGATGTGTTGGGGAGCCTGGCCTAGCCTGTTAAGATGACAAGCCAGTCCGGTCACCTGAAAGTCCCCCAAAGTACACATGCTAGGCTGAGGGGCAACACTGGAGCTGCCCCAGTCCCCGGAACTTGGGGAGTCAGGTTCAGATCACCTGTACTTCCTCCAGGAACATAGGAGACACACACACCACTGTGCTCTGAAGGCCCCCCCCGACCCCCCGTCAGAGGGCAGCGCTGGGCAGGAGGGCTCAGACCTGCTGGGTGCGTGAGAGGGAGGAGGAGAAAGGGGAGGAACGAGGCTCACCCCACTGTGGCCTCATGTACAGACTGCCCAGCTCCTGGTCAGGGAGATGCTGAGTACTCCAGTGTCTGCTCTAAGGTCTCATGTGGACCAGAGGGTGGGAGCCTCAGAGGGGCGCGGCAGCGCGGTTCCCAGAAGCTCAGCGGACGGCTGGTCCTGGGACGGGCGGCACATCTTGCCCCTTTGCCAGGGGACTCGGTCTGTGGCAGACAGGACGGTCCGGGGTCCTCGGCCCTGGCAGTGTCTGACTCCTCCAAGATGAAGGCTCACCCACAGGCTGTCAGGCCCCGGCAAGAGTTTCTGGGCCCAGCAGGTGGTCTCAGCTGGACCCTTTGGACCTCAGCGCTACCCTGTGGATCAATGTCTCCCTACACCTCTTCACTAATAGGTGCTGCTTTGCATAATGCTTTGCACATAATTTGCATACTATCATCTACACATCATCCTAAACCCTCCCAGCGCCCCCTCCCCGTTGCTTGCCCTCCATGTCTTCCCCTCAGTGCCCCCACCTCCATGCCCTCCCCTTAGTGTTCAAACCCCAACCTCTCCAGACACTCCCACCCTCCCAAGCTTAACTTCTCTCTCTGGTCCCTCCCCCGCTCTGGAGTCTCTTCTAAGTCAGTCTGAAAGAACTCCAAGTTCAGTTCAGTTAGCTTGGGTCTGTGGGATGGTCCCGGAACCATGAGAGAGGAGGGAGCCCCTCATCCCAGTCCCCACCAGATGGCCGGCCCCAGTCCCACCCCACCCTGGCCAGCCAGGCCCTGGCTGTGGACGCTTGCTTTATTTCCAAACAGGTTCGGAAATGAAGTCGGGAGCCGGGCTGGAAGCAGGTACGGAAGGAGACATGAGAGCTCCCTGGGCGGGGAGGAAGGGACCTCTGGGCTAGTGGGGGAGGGACCCTAAAAGGGGGAGGGAGGCCTGCGCAGGCCACTAACTTCTCTGCCCTCCCCCCGCTTCCAGGCTTTAGTGCAGCCAGAGCAGGGAGAGGGGTTCCCAGCCAGCTTGGGTCCACGGACTCCAGAGACCTGTCCCCTCTGTCACTGCCACCAGAGCCCAAAGGCTCCTCGCAGCCCAGGACACTGGTTCTTGCTCCTCCCCCTCTGTCCCTCCCATCCCTTCTCTTCTTGGAAGCCCCACTCCTCCCCTCTCGGGTCAGCTCGCCCCCAGGCCTGGCCTCCCTCTGTGTCCAGGCTCTCCCTGACTCTTCCTGCTTCTCAACATCATCACCAGCTTGGCCGTGCTTCCCAGGATGCCAGGGCCTCCCAGCACCTTGGCTGCATAATCCATGCTAATCCATGCTTTCTGCTCAGCTGCCTCTGCCCCCCTTCCCCAACACAGCTCCCCATGGAATTGTCATCGCACCCATCCTGCTGAGGCTGCTGGGCAGTGCCTCCCTCTCTAGGCTCCCAGCAGCAAAGCGGTCATCGGGCTCCCAGGATTCAGTGGCTCTGTCTTGGGACCCCACAGGAGGACCATTGCCCCGACTGTCCAAGCGGGAACCCAAAGGGAGAATCAGGGCATTGCAAGCCAGACTCCACGGGGCCCGACAAAGACCATAAGGAAGATGTGGGGGGTCCTCTGCCACATGGACCCTGAAGGAGCTAGGCCCTGCCAGTTCCTTCATCAGACTCCTTGTGGGGCCCACACACCCTCCCCTTTGGGCGGACATGCCCCTTTAAGAGCATCAGCCCTGGCACAGGCCAACTCCCAGGCAGCACACTACAGCTCCTGCTGTATTCTCCCTGTCACCCCTCAGAGCCACTCCCAGCGCTGGAGGTGGTGTCGCCTTCCTGTCTCCATCTCACCTGTGTCTGTTCACACTCATCTGCAGTCCCTGACACCTTCCTTCATGGCAGAGTCCAGTCCCCCTCCTTGGAAGGAGGAGAGGCTGAGCAGGCCGCCCCTCCCTCCAGGCCCTCTCCAGGGGACATCCGAGAAGTAAAACCTGCACAGGTGGCCTAGAGCAGACCTCAGGGAGCCAGGCAAGGAGAAAATACACAAGCGGGTTGCACAGGGAATGCCACCCCGGTGGTCCCCCTGTTCCCAGCAGACTCTCTCTCTCTCTCTCTCTCTCTCTCTCTCTGCCCCTGCCTGCCCACTCAGGAACAGTTCTCCAGATAAGTCGGTGCCTTCCCAGCTGTTAACAAGTCGAGGAAAGGTGGCCTCACAGGATGCCAGAGTCAAAAGTCACCTTAGATACTATTCATTGCCTGGTTCTCTAGTTTTATGGGAGAATATTGAGGTATGGAGAGCTTAAGGAACTTTTCATGGTCATCCTTTGGCTCTGAGCTCGTCTGAGACAAGACTCCAGTTTTTCCAAGGAGACTCACTAGGAATCGAGGAGGAACTAAATCAAACGCAAATTAATAAAAGTCAAAAGTACAGAACCAATGAGCTTTCCTTTCCTAAAAGAATTAAAACCTGGAGATAGAATCACCTTATTTGCCCAAAGCAAGCTCATGGGTCTGAGTTCTACTGAGCTCTGGTCCTCTCTTCCACTTCTGAGTGTTGAGCCCAACCCAAACACTTCCCATTTTTCATCCCTGAGTGTTCTCCACATCCACCTTCTCCTGTCCCCTCCCCTGTCACTCTAACAGTGATCTTGGCCACCAAGAGGCAGGTGATGAGTGCACTACTGTGCATAACCCTGGGGTGGGAGGAGAGTACCAGCATCATCACCAATACTGTCATCCCCAGGCACCTGCTCCCCCTGGGGGGAAGACACC